TGGTTTTTGCATTGAGACTACTGTTCTGCCTGTTCAAAGATTTCATTAGTAATTATTTGAAAATAATTACTTCAGAATTCATAATCCAGTTGTATGACAAGAGGACCTCTACCTGGGTCTCAATGCAGTTAAAATGCAACTGTGCCCTATAGTGAAACAGAGAGCCATGCCACTGACATTACCTGTCATAGGAGCTAAGCAAATGTCCTTATATTTCCAAACTTCATCACACATAAGCATCCTAGTTCATATCAGAGTTTGAATGTGATAACCCTGTCTAATAGTTTATTGGAAGAAGACTTGTTGTTGTTGTTAGGTGCCATCAAGTCGGTACTGACTCATAGAGTCCTTATGCATAGCAGAACAAAACACTACCTGATCCTGGGCCAACCTCACTACTGTTGCCACACTTGAGTCCATCGATGCTGCCACTTGGCCAATCCATCTCGTTGGGAGTCTTTCTCTTTTTCTCTTACCCTCCACCTTACCAAACATGATATCCTTCTCCTGTGACTGGTCCCTCCTGACAATATGTTTGAAGTATGAGAGACAAAGTTTGGCCATCTTGGCCTCTGGCTGCATTTCTTCCAAAATGGATCTACTGGTTCTTTTGGCAGCCCATGGCACTTTCAATATTCTCCTCCAACACTATAACTCAAAAGCATCAATTCTTCTATAGTCTTTCTTATTCACTGTCAAGCTTTCACATGCATATGAGGTTATTGAAAATGCCATGGCTTAGGTCAGGCACACCTTAGTCCTCAAGCTGACATCTATGCTTTTCAACACTTTAAAAAGGTCTTGTGCAGCAGATTTGCATAATACAATATGTCATTTGATTTCTTGACTGCTGCTTCTATGTGCATTGATAGTGGATCCAAGAAGAATGAAGTCCTTAACAACTTCAATCTTTTCTCCATTGATAAGAATGTTGTTTATTGGTCCAGTGGTGAGGATTTTTGTTTTATTGATATTGAGATGTAATCCATGCCAAAGGCTGTGCTCTTAGATCTTCATCAGTAAATGTTTTAGGTGCTCTTCACTTTCAGCAAGCAAGGTTGTGTCATCTGCATATCGCAGGTTGTTAATGAATCTTCCTCCAATTCTGATGTCACATTTTTCTTCATATAACCCAGCTTCTAGAACCTTGAATATCCCTTGATATTGATTATATGATTAATGATTATATGATTATAATATGTATATATATGTGTATATATATATAGGCAAATGAATGAATAAATTAATGTGACTCTAGTACATTTCCAAAACCATATCTGTAAGGATATATATAAATATACAACAAATTATCAATCAAGATCCCTGATGTTTAAAACTACCTTCCAAGAGTTGTTGCTATTCTTCATAGAATTTGTCTTCTAAATTGTACATGTTCTTACAGACCATCTTACTGTCAGCTTGGGTCATAAGAGAGGACTTCTGGCATTACAATACCTCTTTACATTGTCAAAGTTTTATGCCATTAACTAGGTCTGTCAGGATTTCTAGAAGACTTAGGTTTTATATACGCAAAGCCCTTGTTGTACTGCTTGAATTAAGAACCTCCTTGGGAATCTAGGGCATCCTTTGTTGTTTCCTAGATACCTATGAACATCATCTTGACATTACAGATTTGCTCCCATCTGAACACCACCTTAGATGAGGAAATTGGAAATTTTTGCTCTTTGATTATCAAGATGTAATCAAGATACACTGATGATGAACAAAGAAATCTGTTTTGGAAGAAGTATGGTTGGGTTCTTCCTTGGAAGAAATCATAATAAGATTTTGTCTTTCATACTTTGGATTTGTTGTTGGGAAGTACCAGTCCCTGGGACAAGATATCATGCTTGGTAAAGTTGAGGGTCAGCAAAAAAGAAGAAGACCCTCAACAAGATGGATTGACACAGTGGTAACAACAATTGTGAGTATGGTGCAAGACTGGACAGTGTTTCATTCTGTTCTCTATGTAGGGTCATTATGAGATGGAACCAACTCAATAGCACCCAACAACAACACAATGGACAAAATATTGAATGATGCTGGAAGCATCAAAAGACAATGGAAGGAATATAGAGTCACTGTACCAAAAATAATTGGTTGACATTAAATTATTTAAGGTGGTAGCATGTGAACAAGAATTGATGGTATTACAAGGTTGAAGTCTAAGTTGCATTGAAAGCATTATAAAAAACAAGGCTCCAGGCATTCATGGAGTACCAACTAAAAAGTTTCAATAAAGTGATATAGAACTGGAGATGCTAACTCATCTATGCCAAGATATTTGGCAGAGAGCTACCTGGCCAACCAACTGGAAGAGATCCATATTCACGTCAATTCAGAAAAAGGTGATCCAACAGACTACAGAATTATTAAATTATCATTACTATCACAAGCAACTAGAATTTGGCTGAAGGAAGATAATTTAAAAATGGTGCAACAACACATCAACAGGAAGTTGTCAAAAATTCAAGCTGGATTTAAAGGAGACATGAAATGGGGAATCTCATTGCTAATGTCAGATGAGTCTTGGCTGGAAGCACAGATTACCAGAAAGGTGTTTACTTGTTTTTTTATTGTCTATGCATAATAATTGAACTGTATGGACCATAACAAATTATGGATAACATTGCAAAGAATGGGAATTCCAGAACACTTAATTACATACAACAATAAGCAGTCATTCAAACAGAAAAAAGGGGATGCTGCATGGCTTAAAATCAGAAAAGTTGTGTGTCAGGGTGACATCCTTTCATTTGTTGTTGTTGTTGTTGTTGTTATGTGCTATCAAGTCAGTTCCAATCCACAGCAACCCTGTACAGGGTTTCCAAGGAACGGCTGGTAAGCTTGTACTGCCCACCTTGCAATTCAAACCGACTTTGCAGTCCAGTTCATTAACCTACAGTGCCACACCAGGACTTAAATTAGTATGCTGAGCAAATAATCAAACAAGTTGGACTATATTAAGAAAACAGGGCATTGGAATTGGAGGAAGACTTGAATAAAAAGCTGCAATATGTAGATGACACAAGGTTGCATGATAATCAAAGAGGACTTGATGCACTTACTGCTAAAAAGCAAAGACTTCTATATGATATGGATTACACCTCAACTTAAGAAGAAAAAAAAAATTCTTACAACTGGACAACAAGTAACATCATGATAAATGAAGAAAAGATTAAAGATGTCAGGGATTTAATTTCATTTGGATCCACAATCAACACTTATGGTTGCAGTAGTCAGGATATCTAATAATGCATTGCACTGGGAAATCTGTTTCAAAAGATCTCTTTAAAGTGTTAAAAATCCCAAGATGTCACTTGGAAGACAAAGGTGCAACTAACCCAGTCCATAGATAGCATTTTCAATTCCTTCATCTACATGTGAAAGCAGGACAGTGAATAAGGAAGACAAATTGATGTTTTTAAATTATATTTTACTGAAAAATATTGACTATACCATGGACTGCCAGATGAAGAAACAGATCTTTCTTGAAAGAAGTACAGCCAGAATGCTCCTTATATGTGAGGTTTGTGAGACTTCATCTTGTATAATTTGAACACGTTATCCAGAGAGACTAGTCCCGGGTGAATAACATCATGCTTGGTAAAGTAGTGAGTCAGTGAAAAAGAGCAAGATACCTATGAAAATGGTCTTAATGTCATCAGCCTCTCCTCATCTGGGCCCACATTATGGGATATTTATATTCCTGGATTATAGACACTAAGGCATAACATCTCTAATTAATCGTTTAAAGGAAGCATGGGCCAATGTAATTGACCTTGTACATAGCCAAATTCCTGTGCAATATCCCTGACTTGATGGCTTTGATCCATCATTGTCTCTTGGTGAACTCAGGTACTGTCTTGGCCAGGAGAGGAAGGAGAGAAGGAAGGGTTGTCCTCAAACGCAACACAGCAAGAGAAACTATTCAGTTCATACCAAATAGCTCTTGATTCCATGTAGTCTGTCGTATTTAATTCTCATTATTGACAATTTCTTGTCACATCCCAATGAATTTTTGCCTATTATGTGTTCATTGGAGTCTTGGAATGGTGCTATAGAATAACCTTAAGGTCAGTGGTTCAAATCCACCAGCCATTACTCAGTAACCCTATACAGGATCAATATGAGTCAGAACAGATTTATTTGATAGCACTTAACAACATGTGTTCATTACTGCCAGTGACCCTATCTTTTAGATCAATATCAAAGTTTCTATGCAAAGACAATTTCTTTAAAATAATTACATATTGTCCATTCTAATCTCCTTGTATAACAATCTACAGTTAAATCTACAGTTCTGTTTTTACACATACACACGACTCACTTTAGGGAATATTTTCTCTTTCTGAACACTAGAAGTGATGTTTTTCTTCCTCACAACAATGGGGTCCTGTTCTTTTGCCTTTGTTCTGAGCTATAGTTTGTCTTAAGAAGAACTCAAAATCAAATACTCAGTGATGACAATGGATATCGCTGGAACTTTAGGTATACTATTCCTTCTTAGATAACTTTCCCTCTCTGTTTCACCTGCTTAATTCATGTTGTTGTTGCTAAGTGCTGCTGAGTTGGTTCCAAGGAGTTGCTGGTAAGTTTGAACCATCAACCTTTTGGTTCAAACCAACCTTGAGGTCCATTGCTTATCCTTAGGCACCTTAAGTCTTTCTATAAGATTATTAGCTGCCAGAGAGCAGTTTCCTTTTTTTTTTTTTTTTGCTTAGTGCTGAATTGCAACACTGAACACAGTGTTTTACACATAAGTAGGACCTAAATAATATTAATAGAATGCATGAATGAATAGATGAGTCATGAGTGGGTGGGTAGATAGGCCTCAGATAATGTTTAGTTGTCAGAGATGTATGATCAATATAAAGGGATAGATGCAGACATTTGGAGTTATGCAGGTTACTGCTAAGGAAAAACAGACATTGCTTGCTAATGCTTGTTTGTGTGTGTGTGTGTTTTAGTAACAAGTAAATATTTTTATATTTTTATAGAAAAAATTTGAAACTGAATTGAAGTACAAAATGACAGTTAATGGAAAAATTGTGGTGCTTTCTTTGAAAAAAAACAAGTAAGTGTCTTTATTTTTTGTATTGTCTTCATCAACCACAAGTTAGCAAGTGGAAAATGTGCTAATTGGATCTGTTACTACTTATGGCTCTCACAAACCTTGAGTAATCAACTTTTGCTCTCAACTCGCCCAAGGGATTCAATGAATATTTGTTTCTACCCAGATAGTAATAACACACTGACAGTGCTCCTATAGTCCCAGTAATAAAACATGATAAAATATGAAAATGATCTAAATAGACATTCAATGTACCCACTTCTATAAAACATCAGATAGAAAGATTTCTGTGAACTTTGTTCTAAGTTTTAATTCTTTCCCTATAACACTGCATTTTATTCTTCCAACACTGAAACACTAAGTATTAAAATCAGGAAACTAGAAAAGAACAAGAACTATGTAAAGTAAAGAAAATACTAGGACCAAAAGACAAATTCATGACCAAACAAGAACCGGGCTTTCCTGACTCTAATACCAGTACCCTTTCTATTCGATTATTCTGGTTGCTAGCCTCCTGTGCATTTTTCTCATATATACTTTGGGCCTCTTATTTATTCATGTTCCTCATTTAGTGCATGGCACTTTGACTTAGTCTTCTAGTACTTACTTAACAAGAATACCACAAGCAGGTAGTTTTAACGAATTTATAATCTCGCAGTGTAGGAGGCTAGAAGTCTAAATTCAGGGTGCTGGTTCTAAAAGAAGGTTTTCTGGGTAAGGTCCTTGTCTCTTTTGAGCATCTACTCCTGGTAATCATCATGTAGCTTGGCACATCTTTTCTCCTAGCTCTTCTTGCTGCTCTGTGCCTAATCAGCTCAGTTTACTTCTAAAAAATGATCAACTTAAGACATAGCCTATACTGATATGGTTTCACTAGTGTGGTCACTGTGGATTCCTACTCACAGCAACCCTGTAAGATAGAGTAGAACTGTTCCTTGGGTTTCTGAGGTTGTAAATCTTTTGGGGGAATAAACAACACCAGCCTCCCAGCCTCCCAGCCTCCCAGCCTCCCACCCAATAGACAGCCATCATTTGTAAGAATATTACAACTAACTGGAGTTTGGAAAAAGTGTGGTTTATTGTTGTTGCTAAGTGCTGTCAAGTTGGTTCTGACTCATACTGACCCTGTATAAAGCTTCCTAGGAGTGACTGGTGAGCTTGACTGCCGACTTTGTAGTTCAAACTGACCTGGCAGTCCAGCACATTAACCCACAATGCCACACTAGGGCTCCAGTGAAAATAGTATAGGTTTGGATTCATGCAATCCTAAATCTGATTATATAATCTCATTTGAAAAATAGGGAGAACAACATTACTTATAGGATTGTTGAAAGAATTAAATTAAATAATGCATTTAATGTATTTAACACAGTTCCTGGGATAGAAATGTCATTCAATAGGCATTACTTCCTTCCTTACTCCTTTAAATATATATTATTCAAATTCCTGATTTCTGGTGGATAATTAAAATAATATTCAGAAATTCAGTGAAAATACTGAGAATGGAAGTTAGGGTCTTTCCAGCACTTTCACTGAACTTCTGAAAATTATTTGTTGAGGAAATAGATATTGTTTTGTACTACTCAGGAATGTCCCTGCTTCTCTCAGTTTTTCCACTTTGAGCACTCGTTTTTTGCTTGCACTTGTCTTGAAATATAAGGAGAGAGAGCTCAGAAGTTACAAATTTCATGCATTATCCAGTGAAAGATTATGCTTTGATCACTGGACTTTGTAATTAGAAAAAGTAACCATTATTTTTTTCCTTCCCTTTAGGGATCTCCTTGCACCAGGCTACACGGAAACACATTATAATTCCACAGGAAAGGAGGTCACCACAAGTCCACAAATAATGGTATGAGTTTCCCTAGATTCATTGCTAATTGTGGTATTATTCAGACCCAAAGGCAACACCATTATCAGTCCTGGTACTCTTTTCTACCAACTGCTCCTTAGAAACCTTAGACAGTGTTGCTATGAGTCTGAAGCGACTTGACAGCATTTAACAACAACAACAACAATAACTCTTTTCAGTAGTAGCAATTACTAATTGACCCACCATGTTTTTTATGAAAGTTTGACAAGAATAAAGGCATTCCTTTCCTGCTATGATAATAGTCTCCAGCCTTCATGAGTTTCCTGTTCCAGGGCAGTCAGAAGGAACTTCTTGCTTTAGTAAGTGAAGTGAAGAGTTAAGCATATTTGGTGTTCTTAGTCAATGCCAAGCACCAGTCTAAACTATGGAGTTATTATCTGCAGTTGACTCAGTTCCAACTTGTAGCCACCCTGTTTAGGGTTTCTGAGGAGCAGCTAGAGAGTTTGAACCACCATCCTTATGGTTCTAACCATGTGTGACTGCCCAACAGCGCCACACCAGAACCCCTGAATTAAGGTTGTTTCCATTTAGTGCTGTCAAATTGGTTCCAACTCACAGTGACCCTGGATAGGGTTTCTGAGGAATGGCTGTTGAGCTTGAAACCCTGACCTTGTGGTTCAAACCAACCCTGTAGTCAGCGCATTAACCCACAGAGCCACATTTCATTCTTCTTTTTAAACAATTTTCACTTTTGGCTCTGTTTTTGTTTGTTTGTTTGTTTGTTTGTTTTTTCCCAGCCCTTCTTTGCTCAGACTGAGCAGATACCAGTATGTAGTAGTGAGAGGAGCAGTTTGTCACTATCTTTTGTCTGAACTGCAATCTTTATTAGAAGCCCTTTGAAAATTATTTTCTATGGAAATGGCACAAAGGTTTACATAGACCAATTCCCCTTCTGTTCCCAAGTAGAATAGTGTCTTGATTGAACACCTTTATGAAAATGTGATAGGATGAGCATTCTGCTCCAAATGGAGACAAGGGACATTTTGCTAGTCCAGTGATGCTAGTGGAACTCTTTGAATATATCAAGATATAAAAACACAACCGTAATAATCCAAACATAGATTTTTATTAGCAATAGTAGAATAGATGTCTGCTGTTTAGTGGGCTCAGTTTACACATGTAAGTGTGTTCCTTCCAAACAACATTTACCTCTATTATCATACTTTGGCAATATTTTACTAACACTTTCTAGCATTTTGGGATCCTTGTAAAAATTGGAGTTTTTTACTATAAAGAAGTGTTTTTGTTTTGTTTGTTTTTAATTTCTCAGTTGACTGTTCAACAGAAAATATTTTAAGAGCATTATAACACCTCTTTCAAGGTTTCAAATTTAAACTTATTGTTTTTGTTGTTAAGTACCATCAAGTGGGTTCCGACTCATAGTGATCCTACGTAGGGTTTCCAAGGAGCGCTGGTGAGTTTGAACAGTCACCTTGTGATTCAAACCCACCTTGCAGTCCAGTGCTTTATTTCACAGCAACACACCAGGACTTAATATTGCTTTTGTTAAGTGCCATCGAGTCCATTCCAACCCATAGCGACCCTGTATAGGGTTTCTGGGAGCAGCTAGTGTGTTTGACCGACCATCTTGTGGTTCAAAACGACTTTGCAGTTCAGCGAATTAACCACAGCACCACACCAGGACTCCAGGACTCCTTAATAGTGGATCTAAAAAACACACAGATGATCCTTTACTAATATCTTTTCCTTTTTAATTAGGATGACTGTTATTACCAAGGACACATCATTAATGAAAAAGTTTCTGATGCTAGCATCAGTACATGTAGGGGACTAAGGTAAGACTTCATGGGTATTTTGTGTTAACCTGTGATTCTGGTGTATTTTTTTCTAAACCTGAAGAATCAAAACTCTAATTCAGTGTGCTATATTTGAATATTAACCTTTAGGGCTTGAAAAATTTGAAATTTGAAAGAGAAAATATTTCTCTTGATAGTATTTTTTGTTTACTTGTTTTTAAGATACAGGTTTCAGTCCCAACACTGGAGTCAGAATATTTAAAAATTAGGAGCTCCTCTCTCTCATTCATCCTTTCTTACCTATTTTTTTTTTTTTTTTCTCTAGCTTGTCTTATCCTTGCTTATGGCTTCCATTTCTTGCTCATTGTTAGTAACTCTTCATGCATCTCTATGTAAGATGTCTCTTTTTACACTCAAACTTGAACATCTCATTTTTGTTTCCTCATATCCAGTTGTTGTTGTTGTTAAGTGCCGTCAAGTCGATTCTGACCCATAGTGACCCTGTATAGGGTTTCCAAAGAGCAGATGGTGAGCTTGAACTGTCGGCATTGCAGTTCAAACGGCTTTGCAGTCTGGCGCATTAACCCACAGTTCCACACCAGGATTAGATATCTTAAATAAATCCCAGTCTCAGTATGCCCCGAATGAAACTAATTAACCTCTCCCTAATCTCATATTTCCCCATTGATAAGTATGAATCACAATGATAAGTATGATAAAGATTGGACCACTTGTCCAATACAGAAGTCTAGGTGCTTTGATGACTTCTTGTCTCTCAACTCCCCATTTTCAATATTTATCAAGCTCAATGGATAGTTCTGAAGTCCCTGGGTGGTACAGATGGCTAAGTACTGAGATACTATTTGAAAGGTTAACAAATTGAACCCATTTAGAGGAACACTGGATGAAAAGTGGCAATCTGCTCCTAAAAAGTTATACTTTTGGAAAAACTCTGGAATAGTTCTACTTTACACGAATGGGTTACCGTTAAGTTAGAATCAACTTGACAGAACTTGGTATGGTTTTTACTTTTTATTGATATATTTTTACTAAGTATCTCCTGAGATTTTTTTATTATATTTTGTCTCTACTGCCATGTTGTATTCCAAACTACCATGATATAGATGATTGTAATAAATTACTTAATTCTCTCTTTCACCTTCACTTTTGTAGTCTTTTAGTTTTATGTACACTTAATTCTATTCTCTTAGATATCTTTGTACTTTTCTTGTAGCAGCTATTAGTAGTTTTGTATTTCTGAAAGTATTTGAGACAGCCAGCTTCCTCATTTAAACATAAGCTACGTGAGGAGAGAGACCATGACTGTCTTTAATCATTTTGCTTTATTATAAAGCCTTACAAATAATGAATTGTCTATAAATACTGTCTGAATGAGTTTTTTTTGCTAGGAGTCTGTTGTATCTTTCACAACAGAGACAATTAAAAAAAAACAAAATTAATATTATTCATTGAATAAATGCTTTTACACGTTATTTCCTTTCATCCTTAAAATGATTTTATTAGATAAGTATTGCTATTCCCATTTGATTGATGGAAAAGCTGAGCCTATGTAAGTTAAAAAAAAAAATTCCCATGAGATTTCAGTTAAAATGTGATGGACCCAGGAATTGAATCCTTTCCTATAAGACTCTAATGTCTCTATCATTTCTTAAAAGTGAACATTTAGAGCAGAGAAGGCATGTGAATTGAAAGAACACTGGGGTGAAAGTAAGGAAATTTCCATCCTAGTTTCAGCACTCCCCACTCATCTATCAGTTTATCATACTGTGGTCACTTGTGTGTTGCTGGGATGCTGGTTGCTATACCACTGGTGTTTCAAATGCCAGCAGGGTCACCCATATTCGACAGGCTTTAGCAAAACTTCCAGACTAATTAAGACTAGGAAAAGGAGAGGTGGACTACTTCTGAATAGTCACTGAAAACTTATGAATAACAATGAAAGTGTCTTATATAGTGTCAGAAGATAAACCCCTTCTAGGAGTCCTGATGTGGTGCTGTGGGTTAATGCATCAGACTATAAGTCATTTTAACAGCAAGGTTGACAGTTTAAGCTCACTAGCTCTTCCTCAGGAACCTTGTACAGGGTCTTGATGGGTCAGACAACAGCAATAACAACAGTTGAAAGACACTAAATGGCTCAGGCAAAGCTATCTTCTCAAAGTAAACTTAACCTTAATGAGTTGATGGAACCAAGTTTTCAAGACCTTCAATTGCTGAAAGTGAGAAGAAACAACTGCAAATATCCATTAATGTTGGGAATGTGGAATATATGAATTGTGACTGTAGGCTAATTGGAAGTCATCAAAAATGAAATGGAATCCATAAAAATAGATATTCTTGGCATTAGTTTGTTAAAATGGACTGTTATTAAACATTCTGAATAGAAACTTCTGTGGTTTAAATGCCAGAAATGGTATAGTGAAGGGGAATGGTGTTACTTTCATCATGAAATAGAGCATTTCAAGCTCCATCTTGAAGTAAAATATTGTCTGTGATAATATAATATCCATACATCATCAAGAAAATAAGTTAATATGACTACTATTTAAATTTGCACACCAACTACTAAACCGAATGATAATATCATTATTATTCAAATTTATGTACCGTCTGTGAAAACCTGTGATAATAACATTGAAGAATTCTATCAACTTCTTCAGTCTAAGGGTGATCAAACATGAAATCTAAATGCACTGATAATTACTATTGATTGAAATATGAAGGTTGAAAACAAAGGAGTGGTAGCTGGAAAATATGACCTTAATAATAGAAAAGATCACATAATAGAATTTTGCAATACTAAAAATTTATTCATTGCAAGTACCACACACATGGACCTTCCCTATGGGAATACAAAGGAAGCAAATCAACAATATCTTTGGAGAAAAGCAAAGGAGAAGATAAAGTATCATTAGCCAAAAAGGCCCGGAACTGACTGTGCAACAGACCACCAATTGCTCAAATAGAAGCTCCGGTTGAAGCTGAAAAAAATTAAGACATGTCAACTCAAACTAAAAGTAACTTTTAATATGTTGTTAGGTGCAGTCAAGTCAGTAACAACTCATAGTGACCTATACACAGTCAAACGAAATGCTCCCCAGGCCTGCGACAACCTCACAATCATCATTAAGCTTGAGTTCATTTTGTTGTGGGTCTTCCTCCTTTTCACTTTAACAGCATGATGTCCTTCTCCAGGAACTGATCCCTCCTAATACTATGTCCAAAGTATGAAAGATGATATACTGAGTATCACCTAATTAAATTTAGCAGACCATCTCATGAACAGATTTTATGCATTCGAAACTAAGGGCCAAAGGTCAGAGATGTTGTGGGATTACATCAAGACCACTACAAATGAAGAAAGCAAAAGGTCATTAAAAAGAGGGGGGGAGGAGGGAAACAAAATTGGATGTTAGAAGAGATTCTGAAATTTGCTTTCGAACATAAAGAAACTAAAGCGAGTAGAAGAAATGATAAAAGAACTGAATTAAGAATTTCAAAAGGTAGCTCCAGAAGACAAAGCAAAGTGTTATAATGACGTGTGCAAAGATCTGAAGTTAGAAAACCAAAAGGGGAAAACATACTCAACATTTCTTAGGTTGAAATCTGTGAAAAAATTTAAACATAGACTTGCTGCATTGAAGAGTTCTATACACAATATTTTAAATAATGCAGGAAATATCCAAAGAAGATGGAAGGAATACACAGAGTGACTTATCAAATAGAATTGGTTAATATTCAACTATTTAAGAAGGTAGCATGTGATCAAGAGTCCATAGTATTAAAAGAAGTCCAAGGTGTACTGAAAGCATTAGTGGAAAATAAGACTCCAAGAATTGATGGAATGCCAAGTTTCAACATATGGATGTTGTTGTTGTTGTTGTTATGTGCCATGGAGTCGGTTCTGACTCATAGAAACCCTGTACAGGGTTTCCGAGGCTGTAAATCTTTACGGGAGCAGAAACCCTCATCTTTCTTCTGCAGAACAGCTGGTAGTTTCAAACTGCTGACCTTGCAGTTCTCATAACAATTTGTAACCACTATGCATATGGATATAACACTGGAAATACTAACTCATCTATGACAAGAAATTTGGAAGACAGTTACTTGGTCAACCAGCTGGAAGAAATTCATATTCATGTCATTCAGATGATGATGATTCAATGGATTGCAGAACTATCGAAAGTCAATATCACATGCAAGTAAAATTTTGCTGAGGATAATTTAAAAATGGTTGCAGCGGTACATATATAGGGCCCTGCCAGGATTTCAGTTTGTATTCAGAAGAGGACATAGAATGAGGGATATCATTACTGATATCACATGGATCTTGACTGAAAGCAGAGAATACCAGAGAGAGGCTTACTTGTGTTTTTATTGGCTATTCAAAGGCATCCAGTTGTGTTGATCATAACAAACTATGGATAACATTGCAAGTATAGGTATTCCTGAATAGTTAGTTGTGCTCATAATAAACCTGTTTAGACCAAGAGGCAATCATTTGAACAGACCAAAGGGCTACCAAATGGTTTAACATCAGTTGAGGTGCCTGTCAGGCTTGTAACCTTTTAATATATTTGTTCTATCTGTGTGCTGAGTGAATAATATATATAAAAAAAAGGGTTATATTTAGAACATGGAAGTGGAATTAGAGACTTGTCAACTACCCGCCATATGCAGATGATATAAACTTGCTTGCTGGAAGTAAAGTGGACTGAAGGACTTTCTGATGAAAGTCAAAGAATATAGTCTTAATATGGATTGCACTAACATGTGAGGAAAACAAAAATCCTCACAATTGAACCAATAAAAAACATTATGTTAAATGGAGGAAAGATTGAAGTTGTCTATTTTACTTGGATCCACAAGCCACACTCATGGGAGTAGAAGTCAAAATATCAAATGACATATTGCATTACAAAAGACTTCTTTAAAGTGTTAAAGAACAAAAATGTCACTTGGAAAGCTAAAGTGTGGCTGGTTCAAGCCATGGTATTTTAAATTACCTCATATGCATGCAAAAGCTAGACAATGAATAAGGAAGACCAAAGAAAAATGGATGCATTTTAATTATGTTTTTTTTAAAAGAATATTGAAAATACCATGCACATACCTAACAACAACAGTGTCAGCACTGTCTTGAGTTACTTATATGGCATTGCAATAGTCACTTCTCTCCTAAAGTTTCCATTTCTTCATGTACATTTAATTAGGTGACATTGAGGTGGTTCAGACTCATAGCCACCCTATGAACAACAGAATGAAGCACTAATGGTTCTGCCACATCCTCACAATCATTGCTTTGTTTCAGTCCATTAATGTAGTTACTGTATCAATCCAACACAGTGGGGGTGTTCCTTCTGCTTTATCAAGCATAATGTTCTTTTCCAGGGATTACTCTTCCTGATAACATGTCCAAAATACATGAGATGAAGTCATGCTCTTCTTGGTTCTAAGGAGCATTCTAGCCATGCTTCTTCCAAGACAGATTTGCACATTCTTCTAGCAGTCCATGATATTCAGCATTATTCACCAACACCATAATTCAAAAGCATCAAATTCATCAGTCTTCCTTATTTTTTGTCCAGCTTTCACATTAATTTGAGGTACTTGAAAAAACCATGGCTCGATTAAGGAGTTTTACTTAGTTTTCAAAGTGACATCTTTGCTTTTTATCATTTTTAAGAGATCTTTTAGCAGCAGGTTTATTAAATTCAGTATGCCATTTGATTTCCTGACTGCTGCTTTCTCATGAGTACTGATTGTGGGTTCAAATAAAATGAAAATTTTCACAATTTCAATCTTCTTCACAGATAAAATACATGCTGTAGGATATGCACTGGGCCACAAGGTCAGTTTGAACCTACAAGGTTAGTTTCAACAGCAAGGTCGGTGGTTCAAACCCACCAGTAGCTCTTCAGAAACCCTATACAGGGTCACTATGAGTCAGCACCAATTCAACAGCACTTAACAACAACAACAAAGGGTAATTTTAGCTATTATATTTCATTGTAGTTTATTGCCTCTAATTTATGAGTTTGACTGCTTTGGAGATTGACTAGAAATGTCACAAGTCTCTTTGTGGTGTCTATAAAACTACAAAACCTTAAAACCGGGACATTTTGTTAATAAACCTGAATCATTATGTTTTTCAGAGGTTACTTCAGTCAGGGGGATCAAAGCTATTTCATTGAACCATTAAGTGGCACAAATCTGGATGAAGAAGGGCATGCACTTTTTAAGCATGACCCTGATGAAAAGGTTAACAGCACCTGTGGGATGGATGATGTGATATGGACACATGGGTCTCGAAAGAATGCCATCCCACCTGCCACCAATCTGGTTGTATGTATATATCTATTGTTATTTTTAAATGTTCTTGTGTATTCTCTCCTGACTGCCCTTAGCAGCTGCAATTGACTTAAATGGTACAATAATAGTTGAAATTACAAGGGGATCCAGACACTAATCATAAAAACTTTTGATTAAATAACAATTTAATAAGTTCTTAAGGTTCAAATATAATGATCAATCATGTGTAGGATGAAAAAGAAGTGTAACACCTGCCTTGAGGAAACAGGTGACTTTCACAATACATTCTATTATATACAACAAACCACAGATATATAAAGTACTATTATCATTTTGAGAAAAAATCTTTTAATACCTTGAACTCAATCAACATATTTCTCAGAAAGTAGTGCCATAGGGGTTGGGCACAACAGTAAAAAAATGGACACAGTATTTGCCAACAAGAACCTAGAATATTATTTCATGCATGGAATGCTTCTTCCAGCAAAAGAAGAAAAATAAACATAGCTATGAAATGTATATTAAAATATTTTTGTCATTTCACTTCCCTCATGATTCACTGTGTTCAACTAAAGGCATACGTATAGAATACTACTGATGCTCCTTCTAGCTCTAACATTTTGAATGTTTTCTGCAAATAATCTTAGCTGTTGAGTTGGAATTAAAAGGGTAATACTTCCACCCTTTATTCCCAGATATCAATCAGCCTCTTATAAAATTGCATATTTCAAATACACAGAATGTTTTTGCAGAGAAGGATATTGTCTGACTAATTTTCCTCCTGATATTTCAGAAATTGAATGGCCAGAATGCTCAGAAGTATCAGAAATACATAGAGTATTATTTGGTCCTGGATAAGGGTGAGGTAGGTATATTAGATAAATATGTCTTATAACGCTCCTTTGTACATAATTTATTATATGAATTATTATAGTAAATGTTTTGAATCTATTTTGAAAAATCATGAATTTTAGCTATGGTTATGATTTGTTCTGAACTTACAGAATTTTACATTTATAATTAATTTAATATTGTTTCTCCTTTTCAGAATACTGCACCTGATATGAAAAGCATAAATTGAATTTTTTAGCACTTTGAGGCTCTTTTCTTATTGCCTTAAGAGCTCCAATTTTAATTTCTAATTAAGTTTCTTTGTAATTTTATCTTCTATCCAATATTTAAATCATTTGTATATTAGAGTTTATGTTCATTATAATGTGTAAATACAAATGACTGACTATATCTTCTGAAAAAAAGCAAGTCTTTGGAAATACTCAATTTTTCTTTTCTTTTCTAAGAATAACCAAACTCTTTGCCATTGAGTCAATTCTGACTCATAGCAACCCTGTGAGTTGGCTAGGACGAGAGTAGAACTGTCTCACAAAGATTCAAATAAGGCAGTCTTAACAGACACAGACTGTCACATCTTTCTCCTGTTGAGTTACTGGTGGGTCCAAACAGTAAATCTTTCAGTTGACCATGCAGCATCTAATCACTATGCCACCAGAACTCTTTTTATAAGAATACATGTTCACATATTATATTTTTTAACAACAAAATCCGCAGGTGTGATCTCAAAAAGAAAAACTTTATGCCACAAATATATGAGTACATTTACTGCTTCAAGCCTTAAAACTTTGGCAACTCTATTGTATGCACTAAATGCATTCAATTTTCATTATCTAAAAACTTAACTTTCCCTTGCATTGATTCTGCATCACTTAAGTAATCTTGCTATATAACTGAAAATATAGCTGGGATAATTCCTCAGTCTTACATTAAGCTGGTGGTGGTGGTGGTGGTGTCATCAGGTTGGTTCTGACTTACAGCGACCCTGTATAGGGTTTTTGAAGAGCAGCTGGTGAGCTTGACCTGCTGAACTTGCAACTCAAACCAACCTTGCACTCCAGCATATTAAATCGCAGTGCAAAGCCGGTAGTCATTTATCTAGTACTTAAAAAAATAAAACATATCTTTATGTACAAAATACTTTAATATAGTTAGAGCAATAATGAAGCAATTTGTTTCTGACTTATCATTGTTAATTTTACATATGATCCTTAATTATATCTACTTACATGTAATGTAATAGCTACCGGAGTCCTGGTGTGGCACTGTGGGTTAATGCGCCAGACTGCAAAGCTGTTTGAACTGCAAGGTAGGCAGTTCAAGCTCACCAGCTGTTCCTCAGAAACCTTATACAGGGTCACTATGGGTCAGAACTGACTTGACAGCACTTCACAACAACAATATGTAATATGGAGTCCTGGTTTGGTACTGTAGGATAAGCAATGGACTGCAAGGTCAGTTTGAACTGCAAGGTTAGTGGTGCAAACTCACCAGTCACTCCTCAGAAGCCCTATACATGGTCACTCAACCACATTTAACAACAACAGCATAAGTAATATATAATAACGTTGTCTTCTAGCCCTTCCAATTAATTTCTATTAATGTTCATATTTTTTCTTGGCTGTTTTTTAGTTTCAAAAGTACAATCATAATCCCGAGGAAATAAGAAAGAGGGTTTTTGAGATGGCCAATTACGTCAACATGGTAGGATATATTTTATTATGTAAAAAAAATGTTTGCTTTTGTTGTTGGGAATGTACTCAGCAAAAATATACTCCAATTCAAGTTTCTACATGTAGAATTCACTGACACTGATTACATTCTATGAGTTGTGCAACGTTTTATCCTCATTTCCTGAACCATTCCTCCCTGATTAACATAAATCTTTTGAGTGTCTGTGGTCAATTTGATTTTACATAGATAGATCTTTAAAGAGCATAATGATCAAGGTGGACATTATTTACTAGTTAAACTGAACTTTTGTTTGATTTTATGATTTCAGGGACTATTTTGGCTAAAATCTTACTTATCATTATAGGACAATATATATTTTTTAATTTACCCACCTCCATGACTTCACAATGTGTACAGTCTGTGAAAAACTTTAAATCTGCTCTCCATTTTCCCCCTTTTGGACAGGATTCTTCTATAAAATCTCTCATCAAAATGTCACTAATGGTACCCAGGCACCAGTTCTGATCTCACCTGGCAAGCAAGCTGTTGTTCACCTAGGTAATTAGGCACACATATCATTTCTTCCACCTAGACTTGACTCTCCTTCCTCTGCTGGTCCAGGCAAATTAAGAATGCTGTTGATCCTTGGATGCCTAATCAAAAGTCACTATGTAGTTAACTAAGAAGTAGAACAGAAGCACTAAACACCTTATTAAGCAACTGCAAGGGTGTGCCATGAAACCGTTATTGTAAATCTCCAAAGCAAGAAATTAAGACCTTCTGCAGCTACTCTTGTATTAAATATAATCTGAAATCATTTTCTGAAAGATGTTATTGAGCTTTTCTACAAATGCTGATGAATCAAATGAGGAAAGTCCTGACCCCTGAGATTGGCTCCTGATTGGTGATCACAACTGTTACTGCTCCACTGAATACTGACATTGCTTGAGAGAGAATTTTCTCATCTACTTGTCACTTCACCTACTATTTTCAGGTCTGTGAAGATATAAAAGCTCGTTTAGTTAGTTAGTTTATTTTGTTTTGTTTTTAGTATTTTGGTGTTGTTTTTGTTTTCCAAAAGCTCAGTTAAAAAAAAAAAAAGTCTGAAAAACAAATCCCAGGAGAAAGTTGATGGAAAACCAAAATGCATAAACCTCTGGCATAGAATCATCTTTTATATTCATTATGTCACTAAATACTCAAGACAAACCTGACAATGTTATCACTACATTTAATTAACAGGTAAATAATTACATATTGAGAAGTAAAACCAATTGTCTAAGATCTGTCTGATTGCAAACCTCACGTGTTATAAAACTGTTGTTAACATATATTTTTAAGCATAATTGTATCTTTGAATTTTCAAAACATTTTAATAGAATTATTGTTTTATTCTCATTACATCTTTAATATTTGGCTCTTACTAGTTAAGTATAAAGGAGCTCTAGTAGTGTAGTGGTTATGAATCGGGCTGTGAACCTCAAGGTCAGCAGTTCAAAACTACCAGCTGCTCTGTGGAAGAAAGATGAGGCTTTCTGCTCCCATAAAGGTTTACAGCCTTGGAAACCCTGTTCAGGGTTGCTATGGGCCGGAACTGACTCGACAGCACTTAACAACAATAGTTAAGTATATAGTTGTCATGCTTTATTTGAAATAGTTGAGGTTTTTTGTGATATTCTGTAAATTCTCTAAGAATGTAAAGAAAATGAAGGTGGATTAGTGACTGAAGTCATATCTCCCTTGCACCATCAAGATTCTATTGATTCTTTTTAAGAAACTCTAACAATTAGCCATCTTCATTGAGCACATACATTGTGCCAGGTACTTTTCTTCGATATGAGGATAAAATGCGAAACAAAACTGACAGATGTGTGATACTTCAAGCAGTTTACATTCTTGTTCAAGGATTAAAACATAACCAAATAGAGAGTAAACAGTATGTCAGAAAGGATTAGATGAATAAACACTAGTAAATGAAGATCAGAGAGTTGTGGGATGACCTCAACATCATCATTCTGGAAGAAAGTAAGAGGTCATTAAGCAGGCAAAAAAGAAAGAAAATACCAAAATGGATTTCAGAAGATACTCTGAAACTTGCTCTCCAGTGTAGAGATGCTAAAGCAAATGGAAGATATGAAGAAGTAAAAAAGAATAGAAGAGAAAATTTCAAATGGCAGCTCCAGGAGGCCAAGACCAATATTATAAGGAAATGTTCAAAGATATGGAGCTAGAAAAGCAAAAGGGAAGAACATGCTCAGCATTTCTCAAGCTGAGAGAACTGAAGAAAAAATTCAAGCCTTGATTTGGGCAAAATATTGAATGATGAAGAAGGCATCAATAAAAGATGAAAGAGATACAGAGACACTGTACCAAAAAGAAATTGTCAATGCCCAACCATTTCAAGAGGTAGCATGATCAAAAGCCAATCATATTTAAGGAAGAAGTCCAAGGTACACTGAAGGCATTGACAAAGAACCAGGGTCCAGGAATTAATGGAATACAAATTGAAATCTTTCAGCAAACTGATGTGGCACTGTAGGCACTCACTCATCTATACCAAGAAATGTGGACGACACCTACCTGGCTAACTCATTGGAAGAGATCCACATTTGCCCATTTCAAAGAGAGGTGACAGCGCAGAATGCAGAAATCATCAGACAGTATCATTAATATCACGTGCAAATACAATTTTGCTAAAGGTAATTTAAAAATGGCTGCAACAGTACATTGGCAGAAAAGTTCCAGAGGTTCCAGCAAAATTCAGAAGAGGATGTGGAGCAAGGGCTATCATTACTGATGTCAGATGAATATTGGCTGAAGGCAGAGGATATCAGAAAGATATTTACATATGGTTTATTGACTACACAAAGATTTTCAATTCTGTGGATCATGATAAGCTATAGAAAATTTTGCAGACAATGAGCAGTCTCAAACACTTAATTGTGCTCATGAGGAACCTGTGCGTAAACCAAGAGGCATTGGTGAGAACAGAACAAAGGGACACTGAATCGTTTAAAATTAGGAAAGGTGTGCACTAGGGCTGTATTCTTTCACCATACTTATTCAATCTGTATGCTGAGCAAATAATTTGAGAAGCTGGTTTACCACCAACCTTGTGATTCAAATTGACCTTGTGTTCCAGTGCTTTGTCCCACAGTGCCATTTCAGAACAAGAGCACCATTAAAGTGACTTTAAGAGAGAATGATAGAAGAATAATTAGATACTGAATATAGAAAATTATTTCAAGATGCTTTGCTGTTAAGGGGAAGAGAAAAATGAGGCATAAATTAGAGGATGAAGTGACATTAAAATAAGTGATTCTTTTCCCCCTAAAACGGGTCAAATTATAGTTCCTTTTTATAGTATTGGGAATGATTTGATGGAAGGTTACTTTCATGGGTATGGTGCTATATGATAAGTACGGAACCACAAGGTCAGTTTGAACTTCAAGGAGGGTGATTCAAACTCACTAGGCACTCCTTCAAAACCCTATACAGGGTTGCTATGAGTCAGAACTGCCTCGGTGGCACTTCACAACAACAACATATGAAAGAGAGGAAACTTGCTGTAGTAATATTATTTTCTTAGCGGAAAGATGTAGGATCTAAGTTGGCCTAAGGCTGATTAGGCATTCATTCATAAAGGGGCAGTACAGGGTATCTGGGAAGTGGTGGTGGTGGGAGTCTGGTGAAGTTCTCTGCTAATTGCTGAATACTTTCAGCGAATTCAGTAGCAGAGGCATTTGCTGAATGTGACAATGTAAAATAAAGTATTAGAATTTCTAACAGAGAGGAGCAGGTGGATATGAAACAATGTACGGAAGCCTGTAAGATTGAATGGATTTTGATTATGCCCCAGGTTTGTTGGGGCGTAGTAAAGACAACTTGCTTGAAGTCAGTAGTCATGACTTTAAAGTGAGACCAGTCAGAATAGCTGTATGTTTTATCCGTGTGTCTTTAGAGGCATACTGGGGGAGAGAAGTTAGGGAGAACTGGTTTTAACCAAGGTTGGGTGTTTGATAGATGAGTGAAATAATGTCAGAAAGAAATAATGAAGTTAAGGTAATAATCAAGGAAAATAATTATAATCTGGTTGAGTTTTTACTTATCTTTTGATAATAATTGCCTTTTTAAAAGTGCTTTTATTGTTTTCCAAATTACTCTTTTATTTTTTAACTTTTTCAGGTTTCTCAGAAGAAATTTTCTTCTTTCGTTGTGCAGTTTTATAAATAATACTAGCCATTTAAGTTTTTATATTACATTTAGTCTGCTAACTTTAATTCTATTTCTGAGATTTGCTCCCTGTGCTTTGCAGTTTATTTGTCTCAGTCCTGGTTTAAGAATTAGAGACTTACTTATTGTTATCCACAAATGTGAGACTTTTTCATAAAATGTGGAACTTCTCTAGTGCCCAAAGCAGCTTGGACCAACATTGTTAATGCTGAAATATGAAGACTTTGAGAGCATTCAAAAGCATATCAGTAAACAAAATGATCATCTTTAGGGGTGCAAGATGGAGAAGTATATTTCAATAGCGCCTTTTCTTTTTTTTTTAAAAAAAAAGGAATTAAAAAACTTGATCTCTGCCCTGCACTGTTATGGGGATTGCGGTGTCTGCTAAAAGAGAATATAACTTCTGTTTCACAAATATGTTTGGAAATAAAGTATTTACAGTGCTGTTACAAGTCAGCTTGAAAGTATTAAGCACATTGTATATATTAAAAATTGTTGTTTTCCATTTCTATCTCTGGACAGCTTTATAAAAAGCTCAATGCTCATGTGGCCTTAGTTGGTATAGAAATCTGGACAGATGAAGATAAGATAAAGATAACCCCAAATGCAAGCTTCACCTTGGAAAATTTTTCTAAATGGAGGGGGAGTATCCTCCCAAGAAGAAAGCACCATGATATTGCTCAATTAATCACGTATGTAAAGATTGACTCCTTTGCACATTTCATGATATTCATCACTGAAAGTTTTTAAACAGTATTTGAGAATATAGAATAAGAGAAAGGGATTTACAAAAAGGATTAAGTTTTTAAAAAGACACTCACTTAAATCTTAGGTTATATGTACCCTAATATTTTATCCAAATATACATTTTAAGAGAAATCAATAATTTACCAATGGTTTATAAAAAGTATATAGTATATATGATTTTACTGAGTATGTAGAAAAACAAGCTTAGATAATAGCAAGAGTGATTTAGATTCAAAGTTTAAAAACAAAGATCTCATAGGCTCTGTGCTCTAGTCGAGAGAAATTTCTAAGTTAGAAAAATAAATCTTATTTTTCAATCCCATAACCCTACTATTATGGATTAAAATATGAGGGGTTTAAAAGAGTTTTTGGAAAAATAGAATTGAAAGACAGCAGAATCATTGCATGAACTTTTGAAGCCTCCAAATATGTTGTCTCCTCCCCTGCCCCACCCCAATGTGTGTTGGAATTCTAACTCCTATACCTGTGGGTGTAATTCTGTTTAAATACAGGTTTTCTTTATCATATTAATGATACCACATCAGTATAGAGTGTTTCTGAAACCTAATCACTTCTGAGGTATAAAAAGAGCAGATTAGACAGACACACAAACATAGAGGAATACTAATGCTATCTAATGATTGTTGTTGTTGTGTTCTGTGGAGCTAGTTCCAACTCACAGAAACCTTATGTAGTATTTTTTTATAGCAGCTGGTGGGTTTGAACTGATGATTTTGCAGTTACCAGTCTAGTGCTTCTCCTACAGCATAAATCCAAAAGTCTATGAACTCCAAGGATTGCTGGCTACTAAAACTTGAGATAGAAAAAGAAGGACCTTCATTCATCTTAGAGTCATATCCAAAATTCAGAATTCTGGACTCCTTACCTGTAGAATATAGATTTATATTATTTAAATGCAGTCCTGGTGTGGCATTGTAGGATAAGCACTGGACTGCTAACATTAAGATCAGAGGTTTGAACCCACTATTCCCTCCTAGGAAACCATATACAGGGTTGCTGTAAGTTAGAACCCACTTGCTGGCTGTTAACAACAACATATTCTTTAAATAAGGAGCCTTGGTGGCATTGTAGGATTAGCACTGGACTGCTAATCACAAGGTCAGTAGTTCTAAATAACTTGCTCCTCTGTGAGAAAGATGAGATTTTTGGCTCCTGCAATATTTACAACTGTGGAAATTCTGTACATAGTAGGAATCAACTAGATGACAGTGGATTTTGTTGTGGGGTTTATTCTTTAAATACGGGCATGCAATTCTGTTAAAGCAGAAATAGGAAGTTTTTAAAAAATGAAGGGATATAAATCTAATACTTATAATTACACATGACAGCACAGTATCAAAATTCCATTTGGTACTTTGCAGTTGAAACCTGATAGAAATAAACAGAAAGAACTCGATGGGAATGCACGCTCTGATTGGTGGCCATGCTCGTCACAGATAAGGGGAAGAGAGGGAGAAGCAACGGTGAAGTGGCAAGCTAAGCCCTACAATGTTCATTAAACTTCTGTGAACCCAGATCAAGACCTGGTTGGCCAGCAGTGTGGCAAGACCTGGGGACTCTTGGGCCCAGAGTCAGTGATATAGCCACAGAGGAGAAGCTTCCAGCTGATAAGAGGAGAGGGCATATGCACAAGAACACCCACACTTGCAGATAATGCCCACTTGACCTGACTTCAATGACTGGATGATCAGAGTTCAACCAGAAGAAGAAACAAGAGGAAAAAAAGAGTAATCTGATACAATTTGATGAACTTGACCTATACCTATGGATGAAGTAACTCAAAAGAGGAAACAAAGCTTTACAGCAAGAATCATTCCCACCCCCTCCACACACAGAGTAGACAGGGATGGGCAACTTGGACATTGGCTACCCAAAATGGGGGG